GAGTAGAGTAGAGTAGTGTGGAGTGGAGAAACAAGAGAAGGGAGCGCTCATTCATGCTTTGCCTGTAGCTGTTACAAGTCCAGTCGAACGAATGGTACAAGATCGCGTAGCACGAAAGTCGCGAGCCGGTTGGTCTCGGGTTGATTCGGATCGCGTCGTGCTAGGTAGGACATAGAACGCGCACCATAAAGAAGATACTGGTCGAAAGAGAAGGCAAGGCCACGAGAAATAGTGTAGATTGCAGAAGGAGCGACGACTCGGCGAACAGAAACTATTCTTGAGAACACATTACTTTGAACGCTACGGTGTTGACTTTGGTGGTGAATTAGTTGCGTACTACTTTATCAGCGCGCTAGACACTAAACACACTATATTAAACGCTAAACGCTAAATGTGCTCGAAACTCGTGCTCGAAACAAGGCTCCGTTGACCGTACAAGTTTTACGAATTATTCGATCGAGCTATCGACTAATTTCTAAAGTATGTAGAAAAACATTTTCAAACGGAGTTATTGTACGGCGACCTTGTCTCTTCGAGTTTGAAGGAATTGGTCGTATATCCGATTCGCATTGAACGATAATCACCGAAGAAAGTTTTCCGAATTTCCAAATTTTCCTGATTCAATGTATTCCATGCATGGTCGCATACTTGAAAAATTTGGCCGTTCAGATAAAATAGAGGCGATGGCGGAAACTCGAAAAGCGGGAACGTGGTTTTGCACGAATTTCTAAACGCGATTGCTCGCGAGTCTTTTTCGAAGTCCTTTCGCAAATCTCTCGCGATATAGAAGTCAATGGGAGAATTTACGTTTCGATTCGCGATGCACAGTGTCTGCGATGTACCGCAACGATCGGTGATCCGTGCTAGACGCAAGTGTAGAAATGCACCGATCACACTGATCCATTCACGGATCGGCGCTGCAAAGTTTTCAAACGATTCCGAGCCGATCCAGTGATTCTCGATTTACCATTAGCCGAACGTCGTAATCGCGAAGGCGACCGTTTGCGAACCTTTCCATCGAACGAAAGCAACATCGACGAGCACGAGACAGCATGGCCGATCTGATGTGCGTGTTATTGGCGATGTTCGGCCAGTTCTGTATTCGTGGAACTCAAGGTAGCCTTCTCGGCGTGGAGCTCGATGAAAACGGCCAACGATTGATCAATGAATATTTCTCTCTCGACGAAGCCAAGTACTTGGCCGAGTTGCAGGGATTTCATGACACGTCTGTCAAGATCGACTTGATCGATCGGAAGAGAAAACATCGTCCGATACATCAACCGCCCAGAGTTCTTTATCAAATCGGGGTAAGTTCGATACCTGAACTGCTCGGGTATTACGAGAGGGTGAGTTTTGCTTTTCCTGGTCTTCTCGCGAAGTCCTCCTCGATACCGCACGATAATATTTATTTTCATTTCAGAACAAACAATCGCTCGATAAACGTGTAACGCGATCCGTTTCTTCGATTCCGATGTATCTATATATATATATATATATATGTATCTATATATATATATAGAGCGTTTCAGAAGATACCTACGTATCGCGAGAACTCTTCCTTCCGTCAGATATACGGAACGTAGAGTTCTTTCGAACTTTTCACAATCTAGTCATTCGTCGATTCCATGCCAATAGACCAGCATCGACCAGATTCGTGTCCATGGGCCCGCCTTTGATTTTTTCGTACGAAGCAGAGAATTTGAAAAGCCAAGGCTTTTAAATACGGCTACGTAACTCCAATACTCTGGAATGTTCTTCGGATCAGAATGCCATTCGACGTCGTGTGCGTGCGTGTGCGTGCGTGTGCGAGGGAACGCGGCCATACACTTCTAAAGCCAGGTGTCATTTTCACCGTGGTTGTGAGAGAAGCAAGAGACTCGTGAGAACTTCCGGATGAATCGCACAGCCTTTTCGGCTCCCCTATTATCCCATTTTAGATTGCCGCCACCGGTGGCTTTAATACGAATCAGTTTCTGCGAAAATAAGGTTTTAACAACAATTCGGTTCACCGATATATTCGTAAGATGTATCGATTGAACTATTCGGTTCGGTTCTATTCGAAATGTGGATGCGAAACGTGTTTCTAATGGCGTTCGCTTAACGCTTTACGCTTAATCCTTTGAGTGCTGAATACTCGCAGCCGAAATGTTCCATGCGGCCGGAATATTTGTTCGATCGCTTGTAATTGTCAGAATGGCACGTGTGCGACTAAAAAAAATCGAAAAACACATACATGTAACCACACATTTGACAGCAATGACTTTCGCTGGATGCACATATGTACCCACAGCATTCAAAGGGTTAACGCTTAACGCTTAATGCTTTACGCTTTACGCTTTACGCTTTACGCTTTACGCTTTACGCTTCACGCGTTATGATAGTAGACGGATAATTTGAAATGTTTGACTCGGATTCTCGAACGCTGCGCAGATTGTCAGCGGCGACTCGACAGGACAGGACGTACGTGATTGCCTCATTCAGTGGATTGACCGACGACGCTCTTTGAATAGTGCAGTTAGATAAGATGTCTATTCCTCGATGGCACGAGGAAACGCGAGGAAACGCGACGAAACGCGACGAAACGCGACGAAACGCGACAAAACGCAACAAGATAAAAGGCGCAGTGATGTATACTCTCTAACGCCTCTGCTTTGCAATTCTTCGTTCCCTTCTTTCATTCTTTCTATCTTCAAGTTTTCGTTCTTGTCGTTTTTGTCGACTTCTTTTACGCATACTTTCCGTTTTCACTTGTCACAGCAATTTTCTTGACTTTCTTACTCGAAGCAAGAGGAGCATTTCATGCGATACGATATTTCACTGCACCAGTTGTTCGACTACCGTGCTTAGACCACTTGACCGGCGGGATCGTAAGCGATCGTTCAAAGTTACAGAGTTCCGTACGTGTATACGATTCAAAGTACGCATAAGAAAGTATAGTATAACGTAGATCGTACTGTGATGATTTCGCATATGCGTTGGTTGCTGGTGAGCATGGGTTGGATAGTGTGCGGCAACCATGCTCTGCTACAGACCTTGTTGTCGGTTTTATTAGTCTTTTTCATTCAAATGACTAACGGATCTCAGCGCGCTGTTGTTCGCTCTACGGTGGACCGAGTCTCGTAAACCGCGAATGTTGCTTCCTTATTTGCCCGTGTCGTCCTCTTGTTCTTCAGCGGAACAATGGCTGGTGTGTGTTCGGTGCATCGGGGTTCGAATGAAAAGAGTATTTGGGATTTTCAGGAGAGCGAGAACGAGTTGCCCGAGTGTTCGGATCGAAGCGAAGTTTGCAGCAAGGTGGATTTGTATGGATCACCGTGGGTCGAGAGACAGTGTCGTTGCCCGGATGGCCGTACCTGTCCTACCAGCTTACACGGAGACGATGGACACACGATAGTCGATAAAACACGGCAATATAAGCTTTGCGAGCCAGTCAAGCGTCTTCCCATCTGTCGTTATTTCAAGTTAGTTGATTGTTCGAACGAGAACATCGAGGCCCGACATACGCGCACAGTAGTATCGGTCCGCTTCGCATTCTTTCCTTGTTCATTGTTTTCGCTGAACGAAGAGGTAACGAGGTACGCGATCGAATATCGAAAGAAAAGGCCGGATCGAGAGCCGGTATCTCGGTGGCGTGTGTCGGGCCTGAAACGATGAAATCGCGGGCCGATCGTTGCACGGTGTAACGGCAGAGAGGAGACGAGCACGAGCATCTCTATTCGCAGGTCTGCTGTTTCCAGGGACGTCACTTGGACTCTAGCTCCCGGAGGGGGATCGGCGAACGCGACCGTTCAACGAGTTTACTGTCGCTGCCGGCCAAGCAGCGTGCCCTATCTAGTTCGAAGACAAGCGCATACATCTCCCGAGGGAAATCCAAGATTTATTTATGCTTTCGCGTGTTCTCCGCAAAGCGTAAGTTCTTCTCCGAGTCGTTCGAGCTCGAGGGTTCCTTGCCTCCCCGCCCCAATCTATTCTAGCCTATTTTAATACGCGTGTTGCTTTCCTCGCAACGCGCCCGAGCAAAATCGCCGAGATTCGAAAGAACGTTCCATTTCAGAGACTGCGTTGTCAACGCAAGGAGCCTTGCCGGCTGTTCACGGTACGAAAGAGACGGACGTCGCAACTAGAAGAGGTGAACGCTTCGCCCCTTTGCCAATGTCCAAAGAGCCATCGATGTCCGAGGCGTCATACGGATCCGGGTTCGCTTCCGGCAAGATCGTATTCCGGGATCCTAGAGATTAAGACCTATAGCGGATACTGCGTGCCTTCGCAATCCCATCGCTCCGACCGCATCGAAGCGACTTACACCGTATAAACTGTGTCCCTCTGTCGTTCCCTCTATTGCTACCTGCGCGCAGCCTGCACGCAACCTGCACCGAGACCTGCACCGAGACCTGCACGCAACCCGCGCACGGTCTGCACGCAGTCTGTACGCAACTAGAAAGCTACAGCTCGTGTACAGTCTCTTTACGGCTTGTATCGTGTGCACGATTAACTCTATATAGTCCCTGCACGTGTACAGTTCACACCGCGCGTTCACACCTCTTCGGAAACTGACTCGAAACTGCGGAAAGGATTAACGTTCAACGACAGTGTACAGTACGTAGTATCTAGTGTCTAGTGTCTAGTGTCTAGTGTCTAGTGCCTAGTGTCTAGTGTCTAGTACATAGTAAGTACGTGAGATCTAGTATAATATGTAGTACCTACGTAGTAAGTGCCCAGTATATTGCCATCGTAATACCATTCGCACGATCGCAATATCACTATTATGCTATACGTACTGCATACCTGTTGCGGTACAATCGTACCGATTATATTTAGATTCAATAAAAAGAACAATTTGAAAAACAAGGATCTAGCGAGTCTAGATTCTAGTCGACCGAAACGGATCCAACAGACGAAACAAACGAACGAAGACCTTTGACAGCTCTGGCGAAAATGCAGATCGACAATGTGCAGGATCTTGGTCGCATAATACCGGTTTGCTACTTCCCTGTTCCCCTAATGCCTGATTAGGATGATTCCGTGATTCCGTGATTCCGTGATTCCGTGATTCCGTGGCTCGGTGTGCCGACGCCAGATGGCGAAACAATTCCGAGCCTTGTCTACCTCCAGAGATAAGTGAGAAATTTCACGTGTACGACACCAGATTCTGTTCCCGCTCTGCAACACGCGCAACATTTGAAAATGCAACGGCGTGCCATCAATTCGATCGAGACAGAACCGAATGGAGTTTACATTTCTTCCTCAACAATCGAGCCAAGTAGTAAACTAAACTGTCTGCAGGTATTACAACCATCGTATCGTATCGCGCCGTGTCGCATCGTATCGTGTCAGATCGAAACAAGCTCCGGAAGAGTTATCGATGCCGATCTTTCACAATTTTACTTGAAGCGCGTGTTTATTTTTTATTATACGGAAGCCACGTTTCGCTTCAGTAGATGCATATTCGAGCGTATCGAGCGTATCGAGTGATAGTGTGCGCTGCTCAACCGAGGAAATTGGAAGATAACTGTACTCGTTCAATTTCCTTTTTTTCCCTCTCATTAATAATAGACTTATCAACCGATCGATTCGATGCGAGCACAATTTGTAGGAAACATTTGAAAGATCGCCCAACGCGACGTTATCTGTCGTACCGTAACGAGGTTTCATTACATTTCCATACCGAGCAATGTTACCCACCGGCGATCTATATTTCCGATTGGTCACGTAGAGTGTTGAACCGTTGCATTCCTCGGTCGGGGAATGGGGAGAACGAGGAGAACGAGGCGTCGTCGAACGATCGAGCAAAGATCGCGACGAGATCGCGAGGAAACACCTATCGTCTCAGAATTTGGTAAAAGTGGAAAGTTAATAGTAAAGTTGGTCAACCAGATCGTCGATGAGAACCACGGTAATTTCATGCTCGATATACTTTTCTGGTATTCGATCGAACCCGCGAAAAATAGCGGTACCGCTACCGATGCTCCGCTACGATTCGTTTCCCTTCTCGCCTTCCCCTCGAAACGTGTTCGTCTCACCGTTTAAACGACAGGATTCGTTTTACTGGACAGGATGAGAAAAATAACGATAGACTAGTTCGAATTGCTTCGTGTTTTACCTCTGTATCGCAGGATCGACGGTAGAATCGATCGGATGCACTTTATGCTCGAGTAGTCGTGTCCTACTGGCGGTAACGGTAGATCGTTCAATCTCTAAAGGAGAACATTTTCGTCCAGCGCGTATTTATCATTTTCCTGCGCTCCGACACACTAACGCTTTCTACGTGACAAATCTTTAACGATATCATTCCCAAATCTAGAAAATAATCAAACAGTCGAAGAATCCAACAAACGAATAAACGAAGAAACGAAGAAACGCGTAAACGGTTAATAATCGAGTCGAATAATCCAAAACGAATAGCAACAAGATAAGAATTACCACTAATGGTGAAACGAAATGAAAATAACGAGTATACGAATGAAGGAAACATAGAAAGAAGTAGGGATGAACAGAGGCGAACTGGGAGCAAGTGAGAAGGGGTAAGAAGAAAAAAGACAGAAAGAAGGTGAGACGTTGGAAAAGGAAACAACACGGTAGAGGGAGATCAGAGGGAGGTGGATGAAAGGAAGCAGAAAAAAGGAAGAAAAAAGGAAGAAAAAAGGAAGAAAAAAGGAAGGAAAAAGGAAGGAAAAAGGAAGGAAAAAGGAAGAAAAAAGGAAGAACGACAGAAGATTCCTGTTACCGCTTTATCATTCGAGGACGGATGTTGGCTACAGCTGGATACATGGCCCGATACTAGCAGAATCAGAAAAATGCTCTGCGCACCTATTCTTTCAGCGATACGATATAATCTTTGTTTTCTCACGACCAGTGACCGAGTCCGTGTCTGGTTTTCGTTTGAAAGTTGGATCTCGCTCGAACTTGTCGGATCGCTGCTAGGATCGCGCGATTCCATGGTTCTGTGGTTTCGTCCATCGGCCGAGAAGACGGGGACTTGCCTTACCGTAGGTGTGTACACAGCCCGGGTACCCGGTTGCTAGTGTATAAGTAAGCGTAGAGCGCGAACCAAGCTAGAGGATTGGTGGAGATGATGCAGCTTAAGATTCCACGCATAGTCAAGGGGTTTCTGGTTGGTTGGTAAGTGGGACTAGCCGGGACTCATAGGCAGCATGTCTTCTACGAGAGCTCGCAGTCTCATCCGGAACTGAAACGCATCTAAGCGCGCGCGCGCGTATTTCCATCGCTAAGCTTGTGTACTCGCGCAGTATTCTTTCGACATTTCACGAAACACGATCGACGATGAGGAAAAACGTCAAGAGGTCGGTCGCGGTCTGACTCGTTCGCAACGCATAGTGCTGGTCGGTAACTAGATTACATCTAAACTCTTTTCGTCGAACCTACGCCACCGAACAACACGTTTCCACCTAGCTGCTGCTCGTTTTCCGATTTCTCTCTAACATAGCCTTGAAAATTCGACACGACGTGTCGTTCTATATGCCAGTGGACTCGGAAAAACAGTCAAAACACCAAGACTAGGTCGAGATCGAAATCGAGGTCGAGGTCGAGGTCGCGGTCGCGGTCGAGGTCGAGGTCGAGGTGGATGTCGAGGACGAGCTCGGGGTCGAGGTTCAATTTAGGATCCATATTCGGATCCAGATCCATCAGCCAGATCCATCAACCAGATTTAGATTCAAATCCAGATCTAAACGGGACTTGAAAGCAACATTAAGAGGTGTTTCGGTAAAATCCCGATTAACCGTTGCTAATGCCCGCGTTAATGTCGTTTCATATACGCGAAAAGTATCTAGTGGGGCCAAACGTTGACCGAAATCAAATTATTCCGCTGTATACAGTCGCGCACGCGCGCGCGCGCGCATTCCTGTCTTTCTCGCTAGCCGTTTCGCGCGCAAGACGAAGCAATTTGTCAAGCCTCGAGCAATATTCGTCTCTTTGTATTCTAGAAAAGTTCAAGGTTGGTCCAACAACCAGGAACAAAATCAAATGATACACATAATAGAATAGGCCGTATTCTAGAAACGAGTAACAGCAAATAGACTGCTCTTCGTTTTTCTTGCATCTTTCTTAACGTGTACACGACCCGTGTGTTTGTTCGAAAGAATGTTTGTCGATAGTACACATAGTACACATAGTACACATAGTACTCATAGTAGGAATAGTTGGAAAGTCGACTTTCTCGCGTGAATATTGCCCGATAATATCTTTGACCTCTTACGATCGTTGCAAAGAAAAGAGTAAGAGTAAGAGTAAGAGTAAGAGTAAGAGTAAGAGTAAGAGGAGAGAAAAGCAACGCGACCAACAGACGGTAATTAGTTTAAAGATCGTTGTCAGCTCTCGAACAGTGGCCGCCGCGTATCAACGGATTCGAAAGAACGTTGCGAAGCTGCGGGAGACCCTTCGGAGGCGATAGAATACATAAACAGGGGACGAAACGCACGCGTCTCGTGGCACAGGACAGTATAACGCGTACTTACGTCGTTATACGGTCGGTACGGAAACTCGAAGATGACGTTTATCGAGTAAACGTAAGAATCATCGAGAAGACGTTGGAGTTACTCGAGGAAGCGAATCGGTTCTGTTTAGTGGCTCGACGTGGATACGAGCATGCGATGTAACGGATGTAACGGATGTAACGGAAGCATCGGAATAAGCATATAGAAACGTGGATATAGAGTAATTTATCCGTTTGATGGGTAACCGTTGCATACAGCGACCTTGAAAACACCAAGAAAGATAACGGCTCGCGAGAGGCGCGAGTACCAGTTAACCCAATTTCACCACATCCGCGTGGGTAAATTATATCGTGGCATAATTACTGCGGCACCCCGAACGCCTTTACGGGAACAGAAAAAGTAAATAGCGTTCACCGGTTCATCGGTTGGTCGCTCGGTCGGACGCTCGAACGCTCGGACGCTCGTCCACTGTCCCGCTCTCCCGCATGCCTTCTTGCCCGTTTGCCCGCTTGCTCGCTTGTCCGTTAATCCGTACCTGTGCCTGTGCCTGTGCACGCACACGTACACGTACACGTACACGTACACGTACACGTGCACGTGAACGCGCACAAGTAAACGCGCGACATTTCAATGTACGAAAACTTTAATTGAACGTTACTCGGGTCGAGATTTTACAAGTAAACAGTGTATCGTTTCAATTTTCGGAATACATCGGCGAGCGAGCAGGGCAAATGAAAATGACGCGCTACACGTTCAAATTCTCCAATCTAATCGACCGATCGGTCATAAACTCGCCTCCAATCTCTGAATAAAAAGTAACGTTACACCGTTAAGGGAGCTCGCGTTCTCTCTCTGCGTTTCCATCCTTTCCCTCACCACTCGTAGTTACCTCTTCGTCTCGTATACTCCTTTTTACATGGTAATTTCTCAAGAAATTCTTCTCATTGCGCCTCGTCCCGCCACGAAGACTACGAAACACGCGCGAGAAACGTCTTCGTCGGAATTCCGTAAGATCTGGTATCCCACCTTCCGATACGATTCTCTTGGACGTTTGCAACACGTTTCTTCTCTCCCACCGCGAATCACTTAAAAATCTTTGGTTGTTTGTTTGTCTGTTGTAGAAATCACAGAACGGAGCTATACTACTACTACTGCTGTGAACATCCTGAAAAACTTTGCCTGCGTCGACACGAGATTGGAAGAAAAATGAACCCGATCCGTGAATTAACATGGTTCTTAATTTTGATGGCTGCAAGTGCAGCACTACCTTCGCAGACGCAAAATAATTTTCGAGGTATTAAAGCGAAGGCGAGGCAGATCACGCCAACGTTTTTCAGGGAAGATAAATCGGCTAGTTTGATAGGTGAATCGAGTAGTAGCACCCCTATTATCAGAAATGGAAGTAGAAATGGAAACGGAAGCGGTGGCGCAAGTGCAAGTGCAAGTGGAAGTGGAAGTGGAAGCAGCAGCAATAACAACAACAACATAGATGTTGATTTCAACGTCGGAACAGACAACACAGGCAACGACAGCATTGGCGGCGTTGGCGGTGTGGGAGACGTTGGTTATGTCGGTTACGTTGGGGATACCGTGTCGAAGCAAACATCTCTCGGGGTGCCTGCAACGACGGTCGACGAGCATCACGCGATTCCATCGTGGTTGTCTTCGTCTTCGTTGGCACCGCTATCGATGATACCACTGGTATCGACGGGTCAACATTCTTTCGGCGAAACGATCGAAACGATGCCGACGACATCGTTACCAACCTCTTCGAACACTGGCAAGTCGTTCGAAGCATCGGTAGCAATGAACAGTACAACGACAACCGTGGGAGGAACCACGGCGCCGACGAACGCGAGTACCGCTTCCATTGAAACTTCGTCGAGAACTATTGCCTCCGTCCAAGAGGCGGACGCATCGTTTGCTTCGAAGAAAGCTACCACGAGCTTCGACAATATCACGACTACGCCAGTTTCAATTTCGGCAAAGGAAACACGGGAATCGCCTGGAAAAATTCGACCCCAAATCAAACTGACCACTAATTATAGCAGCCTGCCAGAGGTAAGAACAAATCTTTACTAATCGATCGGCTTTCTCCGATTCTGTTAGAAATCAATTCCATCAAGCGTAAAACCGGACCAAACTCGATCAAGATTTACCGTGGTTGTCGCGTTTCCCTTATAAACTGCCGCTGTAGACAGCTAATAGGATCGAAGGAAAGAGAACAAGCAGAAGAAATAAGGATAATTTTCAAGAATGCGGTGCATGCGACTTGCACGCTTACAGCTGCATGTGCGCGCGGTACGATTTATGTAACGCGCAGAAAGAAAGGAGGGAAAAGCGGCTCATCGAGCGATAGAGTAGAAAGGGACCCAGATTCTCGATTCTCAGAGTCGTGCAGCCAAGACCGTCAAGTGTCACGAACTTGAGAAAAAATGTCATATGGGTCGGTCTAGAAAGTTACGGGGAGTTTGAGTAAGGCTACGATGCGTTTGGCCCATGATCTTTCACTGTTTCACCGTTTCACCGTTTCACTGTTTCACCGTTTCATCGTTTCGTCATTCCATTGTCGCGTTTCGCCATCGAAAAGGTCCACGCTCTTTTGGTTCGGTAAACGTCGGGCCAACTTGTAGTCTGCGTACACTTGTTTTGCAGGTACAAATCATAAAGCAGAGACGCAAGCAGAATCTTTGAACGGAGCCACCTGTCCAAAAGTAAACGAATTGCTTAATCGCAATGTACGATTCTTGACACACGACGAAGTGTATTTGAATATTTTCAATATTTTCAACATTTCACCGTTTTACTAATAATTTGAATTATTTCATTATTTCATTATTTCATTATTTCATTATTTCATTATTTCATTATTTCGTGTGTCATTTAAAAGAAAACGTTTAAAACAAACATCGTACAGTTGTGAAATCGCTTCATTTTAGGGCCATTTCTTGTCTCCGTCTTTTTCTATCTCTCCTTACTCCGTCTCGAAGAGGGAGTGAAATAGTAAAGTTTTTCTCGAGTCGTTTCGCTTGAAACGTCCAACTAAGAATCGTTTGAACTCGCTTAGGAAGTTGTCACGAACCGTGTTGCTCGCTTTAACATTGCAAAAGGAGGGCAAAGTGTTCATGACCGTGACGCGCGAACGGACCAACCGGTGTTAATATCGGTAGTGGAACGTGACGAAGCCAGCAAAAAAAGAAAAAAGAAAGAAGAAAAAAGGAAAAAGGAAAAAGGAAAAAGGAAAAAGGAAAAAGGAAAAAGGAAAAGGAAAAAGGAAAAAGAAAAAAGAAAAGAAAATGAGAAAAGGACAAAAAGAGTGAAAAGGCGAAAAGGAACAAACGAATAAGAAATGAAAGAGCAACTAGCTGTGATGCAAAAGGAAATTCGAAAAACAATTAAAATCCGACATTAACTATTTGACATTAAAATCCGATTCGTGTAGTGCTACGTCACGATAGCGCGCGAAGAGGGAACGCGCGACACAACGATCATAACGATGAACGAGTCGTCGTAAACATGTAAGTAAACGAATCGAGTTTCGATGTAGAATTCGTTGGTTCGTAAAATGTCGTTCCAGCGGTCGAAACATACCGCGGATAGAAAAGTATCGTGAAACAACTAAAGGAGCAACCAAATGGACAAAAATATCGACGATTCTTGAAACGGTTCTTCCTCCGTAAAATAAAACCAATTACACGGAGCGCCAAAGAGGTTCTTGGAAACGAACGAACTAATCGTCATCGCGTCGTGCAGCAAGCCAACCGTAATAACATTGCTTTATTCGTAATAGAACGGTCGAGATTGCGGTTCATGAGAATCGCCGAGAATCGATCCTGGCTCATTCCTCGTCTCTTGCCGATATTCCGCTCTATCATTTCGCGTCTTCTTCCTTCTCTGTCTCCGCTCAGAAATTTCTCTTTATCCCATTGTTTGATGGTTCGAATTACAGCTAGACTACACCGATGGTTACCATTTGGTCGGAAAAAGGCGAAGCTAATCTACCAAATGATAATGGAAGGCGTAGGAATAACCGAGAAAGGAAAGAATGAAAATAACGCTAAATTCTTTCTTTCTTTCTTTCTTTCTTTCTTTCAAGAAAGAAAGGAGGAAGGAGAGAAACAAAAGTGGGTCGGAGAAGAGCAAAAGCGCTAATAATGTAACCAAGAACCTAATGCTTCTGTTTGTCGATGAATTTTTAGACGGGAGTACGATTACCGGAAGGTGCAAGTGCGGCTCTTGCGAAGCCAACCAAATATCACTACTATCCGCACAATCAACACATCTATTTGTTACCGGAGTGCGCGGTACAACAAGTTTGCAACGCCGTTTACGTTAGGCTGAATTTTACTCAGCCCCTGTGCGCCTGTCCGGGAAGATATCGGGATCCCTGCAGCGCATCTCTCGACAGCGACGACCTCCACACCACAGAGCTGGTCACCGACCCACGGACCAAGGTTAGTCGCTCTACCATTTCTACTTTGATCATCCGAGTCGCGCCGTTCCGAAACGAGCACGATCGTACGGAGTGCCGACACAAAGGAGAACACAGTCGAATCGCGGATTCGAGCGTCTATGTCCAGGTAACCTTGAACTCGGGCAAAACAACGAAATGTAATAACTAAATTCTGAACGATGCACCCAACAACTCCTCCTCGATCTCCAATTATTGTATAGGGTAACTGCGTAACATCGTGCAAGACATCGTGTCCTTTGGTATACTAAAGTCTTTCCACCAAGTTGAATAAATATCGATGCGTGTACTTCGGTATAGGGAGACTAAAGTACGCTAAAGCACGCACACGCTCGTCTTTTCATTGCAATCAGACGTCACGTCCGCGGGAAAGAGACCGAGAAAAACGGAAAGCGCAAAGTTCTCGCGAGGTGTCGACAATCTGGCTGATGCAAGAAATAGTCTCACTCGCTTTCAACCAGTGTAACGAGTTTTCGAAACGGCGGCGCGCGTACGACACGCTCGAAGGTGTCGAGGGACGATGATAGGCGTCGCGATCCTGCGCCTATCCTATTAAACTGATTTCAATCGGTTCTCTTCTATCGTTAACGATATGCGCGTTACGTATTCGAGTTGTAAAGGCAATCGCGCGGACCAACCAACGTTCAGAAACCGAGAGAATTTCCACTAATCGGACACGTTCGATCGCTTAGGCGCTCACTTTGGTAAAGACTTGCGAGCCGGTGGCGGAAATGCGAGAATGCAGAACACCGAGAGACTGGTCTCTTCTCGCGTTGCAAAACGTGCGAACCGGAAAGTCTCATTACCTCGTAATATGTCGATGTCCCGACGCCAATATACTCGGTGAGTATAATTAGTTCGAGTTGGAAAGAACATTTCAACAATAAGAACAGCGAACTCTGTCGATATTCCTAATATCGCATTTCTATTTCACAGAAGGTCCTATGAGCCACGATCAGCCGACCTATGCGAGCGTGCCGGGAATTCGCGTCTACGGAATGATGTGCGTACAAGGGAATAGAAGAGGCCGACCTTTGCGATACACGCGAAGCATTCTAGGTACGCGAATCGAACGAAAAACATTAGGTTTCCGATTGGTTTCACCCAACTGTGTGTCTGTGTGTATTCCTTCGTAGATCGTACGTACAAAGAAACCGGAGACTACCCCGTGCACATCGAGAAAGACGAAACGGAAGAACAATTCAACTTTCCATGGTACAAAGTGCAACAACTAATGGATGCCGCTCTATGGGATTAGATTAATTTGCTGAACTTATTCCGAACGTGCATACAAGAAGAACACATCGAAACGCGCGCAACTTGCTTATCGTCTCATTCATCGTACTATTTATTAAGCATTTCGCTTCGCTTCCCTTTTCCTCTTTCTTTTCCCACTCCCCTTCTCCTTCTTCTTGTTCTTCTCCTTGCGCTTCTTTGCTTCCTCTCGCTTCTCTACGGTTCACGACTCATGTTTCTAACTTATTATTTATAATATTGCTGTTGCGTACGCACACGCGTACAAATGGCTCGGACAACGAGTCGTACTCGCATGTAGGATCGGGGATCGATAATTAAATCGGATCGAGAAGAGGAGCGTATTCGAGTGTAAATGTTTTTTTAGTAATAGATAGCGATTCACTGTGAACACAGACACCCTATACCCATGCATCCGAAGCACGCTGCACGCGCCAACATTTTCACCGATACAACTTTCAAGATCTCATGAATCGCGAATGGAATCGTGAATGGAATCGTGAATGGAATCATGCATGCTCGACCCAACGATCATTGCTAAATCTCGAGTCTGCGAAAAGTTGAACAGTGATTGGTATCTAGAACATCGTAACTAGAACATTCGTAGCACTCGTAGACCGTTTCAGATAAATGCGAGATAAACGCAGAGATAAACGCGAAAACGAAAGCACCCATTCGCCGAAACGCAAAACACCCGCAATTATTCACGCGTGCAACTTGTATACGCTCTATATACACGTACATACGTATCTTTTTGCGCGGGACGCGTTCTGCGAAACACATTTTCAGCCACAACAAACTATAACCTTCGAACATGGTAAATTTTTCTCATATTTCACGATGATTACATTCATCCTATTTTTCTGTAGCCAAACGCTAAAAGGGAAACGATAGAACTTGGTCAAGTTTAATCGCGATACTTTGACAGTCAACAAAACCTTGGGAAGCTGAAATTCTTGTCGGCTGAGAAACATATCGCTACAGTATAAACTTACGAGCCGGCAATTTTTTAGATAAAGAATCATCGAACCGCTGAACCTTACACGACGAGCGTGTGACACGCCAGGAACTCGAGAAACTGGTCGTGCCGCTGTCAAAGTAGCACCCTCGTAAAAATCGAATATGGAAAGGGTACCAAAATTGAACAAATTATCGCATTGCAGCAAAAAAACAAAAGAAAACAGAACAAGATAAAGGGAAAAGGAAAATAGAAATGATTAAAGAAGGAAGAATAAAGAATAAAGAATAAAGAAACAGGAAAGAAGAAGAAGAAGAAGAAGAAGACAACACCGCGAAACGTATCGCTATATTTCTTTAGAAAATGCATCTTTCACTTGACTTACCCAACACGTCCGAATTGACTAAAACGCTGCAGCTGTACATCGGAGTAACCAGTCGAGGGTGTCTGAAGTTGAATGCTCGGCGACAAGCTTCTTTGCATGCCGACATTAAAAGTCCACCCACGCGGCCTTGGTTCTGACCGTAATTTTCACTGTTGACACACGTGTGATTTTCTATTAATCGATTAAAATGTTTAAAACCAACTTGATATGTACGAAAGTGATATAGGAGAGAAAAGAAAAGTGGCAATAGAATATCAAAGATGAAAATTAGGTTTATACCTTTGGCCTTCCTGAAAAATTTGCCACTTTTTCAGAACAAAACAAACACCCGTCATTGGCTCTTCGCATAACGGTCCGGCAAGCGTCGCCAGTTGAAATCCACTGACCATACTGCTTTCGTATCTGATATGGATTATAAATATATATTATAAGCAGGTTTTCTTCGTAACTTGTTTCATTAAGATTTCGATAATCGAGAGCGACGCGTCTGAGCGTCGTTTCATAGTAGAGCAAAGAAATCTGTCTCTTCGTTGCACCAGAGAAGGCGAGAAGCTGGAACGCGCGTCCGACAATCAGTGGTGAAATTCGGAGAAGCCCTGTGTGCCCGTTGCCTCGCGCATCATCGACTCTAGCCTTCTCTAGTGCAACGGACAACGGTAGTTTTACTGTGGTACCAATATCTGGACGCACTAACGCACTAACGCACTAACGCAATCGCGCAAATAGGATATTCCGCTCGAAGAATTCGTTAGAGATTGCCTGGAATCTGGCAAGTACTCACGGAAATCGTGGGTCGTCGGACTTTGAATGGCCTTCCCAAAATTTATTCTGTTTGTAATCGGTTTCGTTTAAGAGGATATTCGGCCCGCAATTCCGTGGCCCAAACGACCATATTTTCTCCAAGACGTGTTCTTGTCCCGCCTCTTGAAAGCCGATCGACAACTCGTGTTTCAAGGCGGCGAGCGCTTTTTCCGTTCGTTCGGACATCCGACGCGACGACGATTCGACCGTTTCCTCCGGCGTCGCCAACGGTAGTTTCCCTTCCAGCAACTCCCCTTCCGTGTCTCCCTCGGCCAAAGATAATTTCCCGTAGTGACGATACAGAGACTTTAACAAATCCGCGTGTTTCTCCAAGATTTTGGTAACTTTCTGCGGCAGAGGTCTCGCGTCTATTTCAAAGTAACACTGTCGATTCGCTGTCCACGTGGGAAAACTCTGCGGAAGGTCGTCCGGCTTCTTCTCGATCGCCTCGTTGACCATGTCGACCCGTGGCGGTGGTACAACCGTTTCCCTGAACGGCACGATGGGCTCCGACACGTTCACGTCGACTTTCGCGTACCTCAGCTTCAAATCTTCCAAGCATCTTTCCAGGTGCACTTCCCCGGCGGTACTCAGTACTATTTCTCCGCTCTCCTGAATGCGCACCACCGCGCAAGCGTCCGCTTGATTCAGCAGCTTTAAACCGTTGATCAATGCCGGCAAATCGTTCGGATGCTTCGGCTCGAGAGCTACTCGCATTATAGGAACACCAAAGGACATCGGTTCGGAGAACGGCGGACAAGCAACGGTAGAAGAAAGGGTAGCAGTTTTCAGTACGTGCTCTTCCAGTTGACCGATTCCAAATACATTGCCGGCAGTCACCGTGTCCGTGGGCTCCAACTCCCTGCCCATCAGCAGATAGAGCTTTTGTATGGTAGTGATGGTCACGTGTCTGCCGGGTTTCAAATCCCTAAGCGTGACGGTATCGTCGGTCGGTACCTCCACCGCTGTCCGAGGATCGTGTTTCGGTCCAAGAACGAATACGGTGCTCCCTTTCCGCAAACAGCCGGAATAAGCTCTCGCGAACGCTATCATGGCTGTGTCGGAATTGGATTGAACGCACTGGCTGGTTTCGTTGGTTTCGGCGGTTTCGCTGGTCTCGCTGGTCTCGCTGGTTTCGCTAGTTTCGCTGGTTTCGCTCATCTCGCTCGTCTCGGTTGTTTCGACCGCCTTGTCCTCCGACGATCTCGCTTCGATTCGATCCAACTCGGTCGAGCGTTGTCGTTGGTTCGCGGTCATTTTCTCCGCGTGTCTGAGACGCGCAATCTCCCTCCGTTGCGCCAACTCCTCCGGGGTGAGAGGCTTCGGTTTGTTCTCCGGCAACGATTTCTTCTCGACGGGGAACATTTTCGAAACAAAGACGATCACGGGCGAGCTCGGGGACGAGTCGCAAGCCAAGAATGCGTCTTTCAAGCGGCGCGTTTCGTCCGGCAACGCGTTGAAGTCGAAATTGCCGGTGAGCAATCGTCCGACCTTTTCGCTGGTTAAATTGTTCGGAGCCGGGACGATCTCGCACACCGCGTCGAGACAAGCTCGAGCCAGTGGCAACCACTGAGAGCAAACGGCTTGCAGCTGAGCCTTCGGGTCCGTGTGCCTCAGATCTCTGCTGGTCAGTTTGATGTCCAGCTTCTCCGCGATCGAGCTCATCCTCTCTCTGTCCTTCCTCACCGTGATCGTCTCGTACAACGTCCAGAGGTTGTCCAGAATCAACTGAACGAACAACGGCTTCTTGGCCTTCTCTTGCGCTCCTCGGACGATCCTCTTGGTCTTTGCGTTCGCGTAGAAATCGCCCCAGAGCGTTTTCGACAGCACCGTCTCGCTGAAACCCAGTTTTCTCGCAAATATCTTGGCAAAATCTTTCACGCCGAACCCCCAGCCGTCCGTGGCGCTGGAGAAGAGAACGTTACCTTGCTCCGGAGAGAAATAGAGGCCGGAATCGTCCATGCTTCTCAGCGCGGACTGCCAGTCGGCTATGCTCCTTTCCGACACTGGCTCTCCCGTCGACTCGTCCTGGGACAGCTGTTCCTTGTCTTCCCGCTCCATCGCGTCGCTGGCGAAAAGCTCCCCCATCACCGCGTTCACTTGCTCCAGTACTTGGCTCAAGAGCACGTACGCGTCCAACGGCACCAATTTCATCTCCGTGATCAACCTGTCGATCTTGTTCAGCACCAATATCGGCTTCAGACCCTCCGCGTACGAAGTGGAGAGAGCGCTGCGCGTTTGCGGGCACACGCCTTCGACCACGTCGATCACGATTATCGCTCCGTCGCATAACCGAACGGCCGTCGAGACTTCCGAAGCAAAGTCGACGTGTCCCGGTGAATCGATCAGATTCACGATGAACTCTCGACTATCGTACCTATGGTACAGCCCGATGGAACTCGACTTCATCGTGATCCCTCGTACCTGCTCGTCCGGCCTGCTATCCAAGTATCGGAGTTTGCCCGCCAGTTTATTCGAAATGATTCCGTTACTGGCGACCAACGAATCGGCGAGCGTCGTCTTCCCATGGTCCACGTGCGCCAGTATGCAAATGTTTCGTATATTGCTCGGGTTCTTTTGTACGTCCGACAATTTTTCCGCGCTGACGAGTCGCATTCTGCGCGTTTGCTATCTTCGACCTGAGCAACGGAAACGACGATTTTCCAAAGTCCTTGAACATCGATACGCCACCTTTGCCGTTCCGTCAAACGGTTCCAGACTCCGAGTTGCAAAACTTTCAACTTCCAGTTTCGAATTACGAATTACTAATTTCAAATCTCTAGTGCTTGCGAGAACTGGACAGAATCCGGAGACAATGTGCCACGAGTATATACGAGAATATACCAACTCCTGGTAACAAAGAGTAGACACTATTTCACTTTATTCTGTTTCCAAAGAACGTAACGTTCGACGCAGACCAACATGTATCGCAACCTCGTCGATGGCATCGTTTTCGCTTTGCTCGGCATGCCAGTTGCCGCTTCGTGTACGGTACTCACCGAAATCAATGTCCAATCCAGAATTCACCGTGCACCTTCTTATTTTCTCTGTTCTTACTTGTAACTTGTCGCCGCGACGGACAAGATTTCTCTTTTTCCACGAGATCTCGTTTAGAGGTTAGAATATCGAGAACACGCGACAGAGCGCAATACGGTGGTTCTTCTCTGTCAAATTAGTTCATTTCTCCACGCGTCTGCTCGTATCGAATCTTCTTCGCAGCTCTTTTGCGAAACAAGCAACTTTAACGGTGCATCGTTCCGAAAATTTCCGAAAGTTTCTTACACGAGCAATACCCTTGCCAATGCAACGTGCGGTCTACAACTTGGCGGGGATGGCCATGTTCAGTCGATACCATGTACGCGTAGTCGCCGTCTCGAGTCGGACCAAATGAAAAGATGTACTTGAACAATCTCGTACCAATAAGGTTCATTGCATTTCACTCAAACTTGTCATTGCATGTCAACGATAGGATATCCTCGAGTTTTCCATTATTCGAATTTCAACTCTTTCTTCTTATTTCCTTCTATGTTTCTTCCTCTTTTCTATCTAATAATAAATACGGCTGGACAGAAGAATGCCGCCATCTACGATGAAACGCCGAAGCTGCTATTCGATTAGCTCGTGCTGGTACCTACTATTGGTTCCACGTTTTTGTCGCCAGAGGTATCTTACCATAGAGTATAACGCTATTTCGTAGATGAGCTTATCTCGTATTACGAGTGCAAAGGATTTCTATTACGTTTCAAAACACGTTTGCAAATACCAGGAGAACGTTTCGTCTACGATGTTACGTATCTGTGTGATGTTACCTACATGCCGCATAGTACAAATTTTACGAATCTACCATTCGTTACCTTTCAATCGAGTGTTGGACATTTATACTGCAATCGTTGAGAAGCCATTCAACATGTCGGAGAGAATCGAAATCATTTGCCGTACAATTTCTTTAATTGTTTTTAATAACACTTATCGGTACAAGGTGTAACATATCACGTATGTAGAGAAACATTTACAAACTATACACATGTAACAACAATTCAGAGTACTCGAGCATTTAGTCGAGTGTATACGGATGTAGGACGTAATGTTATTTCGGAAGAAGGAACCTTTTTCACTTGCTTTCTCTTTCGAAAGTAACGCGGCGGGTATACCGAAATGTAGAACTCGGCTAAAACGTAAGTAGACGAGTTACGAATTTGCTTACCAGAACAGACACAAGAAACGAAACTATGAAACTATGAAACTATGAAACTATGAAACTATGAAACTATGAAAATATGAAAGTACGAAAACAAAAGAATGGGATGAGAATTATTCGGTAGCAACGGAATCCTTTGTGTTCTCTTTCATTAACTTGGCCTTTTTCTTTAAAGCGCGCGACCTTATGTTGTTCATCGTTTTCGAGATCAACCAAACAGCACCTTTCTCGCATACGCAGCACAATCCGTGTATGAAAGCGATGACCAAGAAATGTGGAGAATAGCCAGCTGTACAGGGCTCGATGCCGAGCGTCTTTAACGACGATTCGACGTACGTGTCAGGGGAGGGAGCCATCCACGTCGATTTCCTAAAAATCCCAAGAAAATGGTATAAACAACGAGTTTCGAAGAATATAAGAATATACGAATGCATTATATGTCGATTCTATGTTGATTTAGAGTTACACATTCGCGCGCTCGAGTCGACCTTACTTGATCTTTGACATCTTGGTGGCTACGACGCATGGTATCAAACATTGAACAGTGACTCCGTTTCTTTTCGCTTCCGCGGCCAAGTCGGAGCTAAGCTTCACTACGTAAGCTTTACTCGCGGCATAAACGGACAAGTAAGGACTAGGCATCACCCCCAACGCCGAACTTAGATTGATGAGAACTCCTTTTCTACGCTCAAACATTCTCGGAAGAAAGACTCGTGCGATCCCCGTCACAGCTGCCACGTTCAGCTGCAAAATCTCTGCCAAACATTTCTCCTCGAGTTCGGTAAATAACTCTGGATGCTCGTAACTGGCTCCGGCGTTGTTCACGACCACGCCGATCTGTTGAGAAGGGCAGAGAGAAAGATTGACTTTCGAGCGAACAAATTCTCGACGTTCGATGGAAATGAAATGTTTACCTCGAGATCCTCGGTCGCTTTGGCGATCTTTGCGAACACTGCTTGACCTTGGCACAAGTCTGCCTCCACGACACGAACCTGCACGCCGTACTGTTTGATCTCAGCCGCGACCTCTTCGAGCTTTTCCAAGGATCGGGATACCAATACGACGTCCAGACCTTTTCTGGCGAGTTGCTCCGCGAACGCTTTCCCGATTCCACTGGTAGCACCGGTAACCACTGCCCATCTACCTTGCGTTCTCACGTCGATTCCGAAACCGAAACTAGGCGCGATCAGTTTTCTCCACAGGACTATACCGACTTTTAATAGAATCCGCAGACCGATCACCGCCAATACGACTAGAGATATCTTTTCCCCGCATGTCAGCATCATTCTGAAACGGTTGAGAACCAGTGAATACGATCATAATAGAGAAAAATAGGAGAGGCAATCGCGCGGACAGGCCGCGAACGCTACTCGGAATATTCGTCGGTTTCTCTCGGATGGCACGTACCCGTCGTTCTTGCGTTCGGTCTGTCGACGTATGTAACTTGCCTGGTTTGCGACAACTGGGTTTACGCGATTCACCGATAAGCCGATATACTAATATGCCGATACGTCGACACATCGGTGCATTAATATTCTCACGACCCTTCCTACTTCCTTCATTTGCATTAGTTTTCTCTCCCCCGCGACTCGTCGTGTCGCGAGCACACAATCAACCGAGCTAGTCATTGCCGGGTATGTCTTGCCCGGGGTCGCGCCACTCCATCGCCATCGTCACGCTGATAAGCAGGAATAAATTTTCGGTCTGTGCTTTTCTCTTTCACCTTGCATTCGTTCAGAGTAACGGAGGTAGACGCGCTTTACATATGTAATATGCTATAGACATACATATACAATAGCGTATTCGCACGCGCGTCAAACATTCGATTTTGCATACATTTTATATTACATGGTCATTAATTATATACGATACGCTGCGCAACATTGCTGGATAACGTCGACAGCAAGGATTCGAACGATACCAATTCAAAAGCGCATTAACCGCATTAACCGCATTAACAGCGCTTCAGCCACACAATACAGCTAGTTCCTTTTTCGTCGAGACCGATAAACAAATTAATACTCTAGGATTGAATTTTTCTTTCTCGTCGCTTATCAATTGTTGTTGTTACTAGCTCGACCACTGTCAAATAATATTACACATAGTATGCCATATCGTATAAACGCTGTTGCTCCCATTATTCGTGTCATCAGCGTGTACGAGTAAACAACTGCAATATAACAGAGTTGTGGTTGCTTTAATCGAGAATCGTTCCCTTACGTTCATAGTACTCGTTATCTTTTCTTCTCTATCCAGATTAGATTACACTGTGCTGGGGAAAGAGTGGAGCTGGGTTATTGGAATTTCACCAACTACCGTATCGCAGGTCATTTCTAATTTCACCAACAATCGTCAGCGACAAAACGAGAAAAATTCGTCATTTGCATCTGCTAATAGAGAAACGAACCAAATAAGGAAAACACCCGCGAAATACGCGTGATCGTTTAAATGTAACGTTAAAAACTGCTGACCTTTAACCGATCTCGAGTGCCGGAGCAAAAGAGACCTACCGGATATGCGTTCAGAAAGAAACATTCAACAGATTATTTATTCGCCAGACAGATTTTTTACTGTTTGGACGTTGAATCGCTCTTTCGTTAGGAAACAGAAATAAGATAGAGACCGAGGAGAGGAAACACAGCGGCAGTTGTTTGAAAAATGCACAACTTTGAATAGCAGCGACAATACTAACAGTTTCGAATAAATAAACGCGCGACAATGATTTGCAGAGTAGTAAACGTTCCCAACCATTCTATTCTATTCTATTCTATTCTATTCTATTGTATTCTATTCTATTCTATTCTATTTGAACTTACCTGCATTCGATTAACCGCCCCTTCACGATTCAACGTATTTCTCTTGAAGACAACGAATGCGGCGGCTTATCCATACACGCGACAATTACACGCGACAATTACACGCGACAATTACACGCGACAATTACACGCGTATGCAACTTTGCCAATGACAAAGAATAAAGAGGAAAATTAAGAGTCTAATTGGCCCCGCGATTGTACGCGAAACGTCCCTTCGGACTCGGCTGTACAGTTTCGAAACGATGCCGACCGCTTGGTGGATTGTCGAACGACGCCGACGAATGCAGACTATACGCAATGTTTTGATGGAAACAGGAACAGAAAGACGGGAGAAATGGAAGGAGAAAGAGAAAGCGGTGGCGAAGCTGCCGGAAGAGAGATGACGAGACGAGAATCTATTCGAAGAAATGAGAAGACGCGATAGATCGCGAAACGGGTCGATGCTGAGGAGGGTGGTGTAGTCTGCGCGAGCGCGAGCAGGAACGACACGGGAATGAGGACCGGGAACGGGAGCGGGAACATACGCATAAATAAATCTATCGACACTACACCATCGTAGGAGATTTTTCAGTTTTCAGGTTTTCGATACAGCACGTTCGAGTTTTACGGCCGATTTCGAGTTCGAACATTGAACGGCAATGTTATACGCACGTGGTACTCGTATAGTCGCGAGCAATGTCAGGGCCGAACCGCCTTTCGAGAAGAAAGTTGCAGAGTCCACTCGGTTCGTTCGACGAGAGGGGGGGGGGCAACAGTTGACTCTTTCTTCGACATACTTACTACGCTCCCCGTATAACATGTACCGCTACGATTCACTCGACCGGCAGAATTCACGCCTGTTTCTCGAATCAATCGACATCTATCCAAAGCAGATAAGGATCAACTGATCGTGTAGCTATCGTCGACATTTATTATCGTAACTGCACACGTGTTTACGTGTCCGAGTATTACGCGTGTAGTTCCGTGCTGAAAATTAGCTGTTCCGAAACAGTGCAAGGTGTTTTAGTTCCAGTTTTAACGATGTTGCGACCGGTCAACATTGTAACGTTACGGTGCGCTTGATGTATAGTTTGCAGATGAAATTTTCTCCAGAGCAAAGCTCCAGTATCAACGGATTTCGTCCAATCTTTCCATTCGCCCCGCGTCACTTTCGCGTAACTCATCCGAAAGATGTGTTCGATCACACCTCGCAACCAGATATTCCAATCTATAGCCACGTCGCTAATGTGTTCGAGCCATTTTGTCCAATCTCTGATTTCCTTCGATTCCACCACTGGCATGCATTGCTCCATGAACGCCATTTCCGATTTGCTCAAAATAGTTTTCAACCAATTTGCAATTTTTCCACATACCACGTCTACGACATCTTTTAGTTCTTCCGTCAAGAGGTTGGGATCCTCCAACATCACGATATTGGTTAATTTCTCGTAAATCGCACGGTGTATACCGTTCGTTACTGGATCTTCGGCCGTGTTTTCTGGAGTACTCTCGATCATTTTGTAAACGGTATCGATAATTTTACCAAAGGTCAAGAATGGGATGTCACTTTTAAACAATTCCTCCAGATCCCCTTTAACCAGTGCGTCTTTCCATCCTTCTTCTTCAGGTGTAACTTTCTCTCCTGATAACAAAGTAGATGGAACTTTTGTTTCAACTTGTAGTTCTTCCAGTTCCGAAGGCATAGAGTAATCGGTTTTTTCCTCATCTGCCGAAACAATTTCATTATCGTTTCCTTCTTCTGGTTCCTCGATTCTTCCTTTTGCTTCAGTTTCTTCTGTTGCCTCCGCACCCGTTTCCGCTTCGATTTCCGTTACCGTTTCCGTTTCCGTTTCCGTTTCCGTATCCGGTTCCGTTTCCATTCCCACTTCCGAGTCAACCTTTGATTTTACTTCGACCTCTTTTGCTATTTCAATTTTCGCTTCCGTGTTTGTATCTGCTTCCGTTACCGATTTTCTTGTCCCATTTGTTCCTGCAATTGACTCGGTATCCTGTTCACTTTCCATTTCCATTCTCGCTACCGTTTCTAAAGGTACAGCCGTTTTCACGTATTTCGTTTCTACTTCTTCTTCCATCGTTGCTTGCTCCGTTATAACGTCAATCTCTTCGTTGTCTTTCACGTGCACAATTTTCACGTCCTGATTGTCTAGTTGGCTCACCGATTCCGTTACACCGCCTATATCATTTTTCCTCTCGTCGTCCGCATCGACAATGGAAGTTTGCTCTGTTTCCTTACCCCCATTGTCCTTTACTTCTTCATC